AACACTGCACCCAGGGAATTCGAGTCGATGTGCATGTGCTAGAAGCCCCGGTTTTGAGTCGACTTGAAACACTGCACCCAGGGAATTCGAGTCGATGTGCATGTGCTGGAAGCCTGGGTTTTGAGTCGACTTGAAACACTGCACCCAGGGAATTCGAGTCGATGTGCATGTGCTGGAAGCCCCGGTTTTGAGTCGACTTGAAACACTGCACCCAGGGAATTCGAGTCGATGTGCATGTGCTGGAAGCCTGGTTTTGAGTCGACTTGAAACACTGCACCCAGGGAATTCGAGTCGATGTGCATGTGCTGGAAGCCCCGGTTTTGAGTCGACTTGAAACACTGCACCCAGGGAATTCGAGTCGATGTGCATGTGCTGGAAGCCCCGGTTTTGAGTCGACTTGAAACACTGCACCCAGGGAATTCGAGTCGATGTGCATGTGCTGGAAGCCTGGTTTTGAGTCGACTTGAAACACTGCACCCAGGGAATTCGAGTCGATGTGCATGTGCTGGAAGCCTGGTTTTGAGTCGACTTGAAACACTGCACCCAGGGAATTCGAGTCGATGTGCATGTGCTGGAAGCCTGGTTTTGAGTCGACTTGAAACACTGCACCCAGGGAATTCGAGTCGATGTGCATGTGCTGGAAGCCCTGGTTTTGAGTCAACTTGAAACACTGCAACCAGGGAATTCGAGTCGATGTGCATGTGCTGGAAGCCCGGTTTTGAGTCGACTTGAAACACTGCACCCAGGGAATTCGAGTCGATGTGCATGTGCTGGAAGCCCGATTTTGAGTCGACTTGAAACACTGCACCCAGGGAATTCGAGTCGATGTGCATGTGCTGGAAGCCCTGGTTTTGAGTCGACTTGAAACACTGCACCCAGGGAATTCGAGTCGATGTGCATGTGCTGGAAGCCTGGTTTTGAGTCGACTTGAAACACTGCACCCAGGGAATTCGAGTCGATGTGCATGTGCTGGAAGCCCTGGTTTTGAGTCGACTTGAAACACTGCACCCAGGGAATTCGAGTCGATGTGCATGTGCTGGAAGCCCGGTTTTGAGTCGACTTGAAACACTGCACCCAGGGAATTCGAGTCGATGTGCATGTGCTGGAAGCCCGGTTTTGAGTCGAATTGAAACACTGCACCCAGGGAATTCGAGTCGATGTGCATGTGCTGGAAGCCCTGGTTTTGAGTCGACTTGAAACACTGCACCCAGGGAATTCGAGTCGATGTGCATGTGCTGGAAGCCCTGGTTTTGAGTCGACTTGAAACACTGCACCCAGGGAATTCGAGTCGATGTGCATGTGCTGGAAGCCCTGGTTTTGAGTCGACTTGAAACACTGCACCCAAGGAATTCGAGTCGATGTGCATGTGCTGGAAGCCCGGGTTTTGAGTCGACTTGAAACACTGCACCCAGGGAATTCGAGTCGATGTGCATGTGCTGGAAGCCTGGTTTTGAGTCGACTTGAAACACTGCACCCAGGGAATTCGAGTCGATGTGCATGTGGTGGAAGCCCGGTTTTGAGTCGACTTGAAACACTGCACCCAGGGAATTCGAGTCGATGTGCATGTGCTGGAAGCCCTGGTTTTGAGTCGACTTGAAACACTGCACCCAGGGAATTCGAGTCGATGTGCATGTGCTGGAAGCCCTGGTTTTGAGTCGACTTGAAACACTGCACCCAGGGAATTCGAGTCGATGTGCATGTGCTGGAAGCCCTGGTTTTGAGTCGACTTGAAACACTGCACCCAGGGAATTCGAGTCGATGTGCATGTGCTGGAAGCCCGGTTTTGAGTCGACTTGAAACACTGCACCCAGGGAATTCGAGTCGATGTGCATGTGCTGGAAGCCCGGTTTTGAGTCGACTTGAAACACTGCACCCAGGGAATTCGAGTCGATGTGCATGTGCTGGAAGCCCTGGTTTTGAGTCGACTTGAAACACTGCACCCAGGGAATTCGAGTCGATGTGCATGTGCTGGAAGCCTGGTTTTGAGTCGACTTGAAACACTGCACCCAGGGAATTCGAGTCGGTGTGCATGTGCTGGAAGCCCTGGTTTTGAGTCGACTTGAAACACTGCACCCAGGGAATTCGAGTCGATGTGCATGTGCTGGAAGCCCGGTTTTGAGTCGACTTGAAACACTGCACCCAGGGAATTCGAGTCGATGTGCATGTGCTGGAAGCCCTGGTTTTGAGTCGACTTGAAACACTGCACCCAGGGAATTCGAGTCGATGTGCATGTGCTGGAAGCCCTGGTTTTTAGTCGACTTGAAACACTGCACCCAGGGAATTCGAGTCGATGTGCATGTGCTGGAAGCCCTGGTTTTGAGTCGACTTGAAACACTGCACCCAGGGAATTCGAGTCGATGTGCATGTGCTGGAAGCCCTGGTTTTGAGTCGACTTGAAACACTGCACCCAGGGAATTCGAGTCGATGTGCATGTGCTGGAAGCCCGGTTTTGAGTCGACTTGAAACACTGCACCCAGGGAATTCGAGTCGATGTGCATGTGCTGGAAGCCCGGTTTTGAGTCGACTTGAAACACTTCACTCAGGGAATTCGAGTCGATGTGCATGTGGTGGAAGCCCAGTTTTGAGTCGACTTGAAACACTGCACCCAGGGAATTCGAGTCGATGTGCATGTTCTGGAAGCCCTGGCTTTGAGTCGACTTGAAACACTGCACCCAGGGAATTCGAGTCGATGTGCATGTGCTGGAAGCCCTGGTTTTGAGTCGACTTGAAACACTGCACCCAGGGAATTCGAGTCGATGTATGTGCTGGAAGCCTGGAGCAAACTCGAGCTCCCATTCCGGAACCAGCGTCACTAGCAGCACTACTTGCCAGGACGGAATAAACAGTTGATGTATACATTGCTATAGGACCGGCATTGGTTTGGATGGGGCTAGAATGGTGTACAGGAGAACAATTTGCAATCAAGTTAGTACCGTATACCATGATCTGCCAAGCAGAGTTAACATTTTTGCATAGCTTGGTACATATCGTTGACAGGTCAAATAGTGCCACTAACACTGGAGGCAAATCTTGGAGGCAAATCGTGTTATGGAACTGTCTTGTGCACAAATTAAGGACAAGATAGGGTAAGCTGAAATGGTGTGTGGGTGGGTCGGATAGGGAATGGTGATTGTGCAAGACGATTGTGGCTGAACTGAGCGTACATTCGTATCCCGTGTCAGACATGATGTTGAGGTTAGGAAGACTCAAAGGGACTCAGGATGCAGGCAAATTTAGGTTCAGAAGACACAAACCGAGTCTCTTTGTGTCTTCTAACGGTCTGAACTGATGTCTGACACGCGATAGGAATGTACCCTCAGTGGTGATGATAGTGGCAGGGCCAATGGAGCCCCAAATGGGAGCCATGTCTTTGCGTGGCAGTGGCTGATACCGTACCTATGTAAAAAAAAAGTTGTTGCTACTGGGTGGTACATCGGATGGTGATTGTGCAGTGGACGAATGTGGTGCGAGTCAGTGGTGAGAGGTGAGGATAGTGGCATGTGCTGCAGGGAAAATGCAGAAGAGGAGAGGAGCGGCATGTTTTGGGGAAGGAAATGATTGACTGGTTGTAGGATCCACAGTTTGTCTGGTCGTAAGCTACGCCTTGACCTTGTTCTGCAAAATGACTTTTGAATCGACTCAAAAGCCACCTTGAGCGGGAAGATCCTAGGGGGGGAAACAGCTGTCGTGGAGGATGCTGCTGCTGCTGCTGCTGCTGCCACTGCCGCCGCCGCCGCCGCTGCTGCTGTGCCACCGATGCTGCAGCCAATGCAAGTACTGCTGCTTCCACTGCTACTGCTGCTGCTGCTGGTGCAGCTGCCAGAGTTGCAGTTCAAATCGCCACCAATTCCTCAAATATACTAGAATAACATGGTGGAACCTTCAGGTTCACAGACGACTTCTGAGGCGCCTCAAAAGACAACTTTTGAGGCGCCTGAAAGACATGGTGGGACCTTGAGGTTCAGAGCCACCATGATTGTGAACATGACATGAGCTGCATCTGTGTCATCTGTGACTATGAAAACCGTAGCAGATAATAGCAGATTCAGCTGCTACGAGAGTTTCCACCAATCCAAGAGCTCCAAGTGTTACTGAGTGGATCCTACCACTGCTGCAATGGTGGTGCTGGCTGCTGCATTTGCTGCAAGTACCAGTGGAGCGCAAGCAGCCCTCATTGCACACCTCGGCATGCGTTTTTTTTTGTGCCCCTTATACATGCATTGCACTCCATTTGCAGAATCTGAAACCACAGCGCTGGTAAGGATAAATTGTCAAACATTATACTTGTGTTGTTGCTGTGTAGGCTACAGTGGGTTAGCCTTTAGGGGGTACACAATTCTAGGGTTTTGTATTTGTACTCCCATCTTCTCATAGTGCACACACTTCTCTCATTCTGACATGGTATTACGAGCCTAGGTTAGGAACCTAGGACCGATCGATCTACGGGCCCACCGTTCCGTCAGTAGTGCCCTCGTGCACCTTCTCGTTCTTGCGCCCTCGTGCGCCTCGCTCCTAGGGCGCCCTCGAGCGCCCCGCTGTTTGGCCGCGTCGCACGCTAGCCGCCCGCGCGCAGCCCGTTTTTTGCCCGCGCAGCCCGCTAGCCGCCCGTGCGCGGCCTGTTTCTGACGCGCGCGACCCAGCAGCCGCCCGCACCGCCGCAGCCGCCCACGAGCAGCCCGCTAGCCGCCCGTAGGCCGCCGCGTCGCTGCTGTAGACCGCCGCCCGCGCGCAACTGCAGCCCGCGCACAGCCGCCGCAGCCGCCCAGGCCCGCCGTCGCGTCGCCCTGCCTGTCCAAGCGCGCCGCGCAACCCAGACCGAGCCGCGCCGCCCACACTGAGCCGCGCCGCCCTGACTGAGCCGCGCCGCCTGGACCGAGCCGCGCCGCCCTGACCAAGCCGCGCCGCCCTGCTGTGCCCCACCTGCAGCATCTACTGTTCCTGCTACTGCTCCTACTGCTACTGGTCCTGCTGCTACTGTTCCTCCTCCTGCTACTGCTACTATGGCCAGTCCTACTGTGCTTACCTTTGACGCTGAGGGTCGTCCTATTAAGTTCGATGTTTGGCTCGATGACCTTCACCTCTACCTTCAGATCACCGCCAAGGACGATATTTCTCTTTATGACCACACGTCCGGCGCCGCTCCCGCTCGTGCTGCTGATGCTGATAGCACCTTGCGCTCGCAGTGGCAGACCCGTGACGCTCACGCTCGCCTAGCCGTTCGCAGCCACCTGCCGTTAGATGAGCGCGAGCATTTTGGCCAGCATAAGACCGCCAAGGAACTGTACGACGCCGTAGTCGCGCGCTACTCCTCCCCTGCCACTGCTACTATAGGCCGTCTCTCACTGCCCTACCTCTTTCCCGACCTGTCCGCCTTTGCCACTGTCGCTGACCTCATCACCCACCTCCGTACCAGTGACCTCCGCTACCGTGCCGCGCTCCCCCCCGATTTCCTCGCCAAGAACCCCCCCCCCCCCCCGATGTACCTCACACTGTACCACCTTGTCACCCGCCTCCCTGACTCCCTTCGCACTGTCAGGGACCAGTTTCTCGCTCTCTCCCCCACTGACCTCACTGTCGACCTCCTCGAGAAGGAACTCCTAGCAGCTGAGAAGAGTATTGTAGCTGTAGGTGCCTCTCGTGGTGACCCCCGCACCCCCTTCTTTGAAGGGTGCTCCCCCTCCCCCCTCCTCCCCTCCATTGCATCTGCTGCTGCTGTCGACTACCTCGGTGCTGAGGGAGTCGGGACTGCGTCTGCTCCCGGTGGGAGGCGCAAGAGCGGCAAGGGCAAGGGGGGCAAGGGTGGTGGAGGTGGAGGTGGGGGCGGCGGCGGTGGAGGGGGTGGGGTGGGCGGGGGTGGTGGCGGAAGTGGGAGTGGCGCGGGTGGTGGGGGGGTCAGTGGCGGCGCAGGGGGTGGTGGCGGCGGCGGCGGTGGTGGGGGTGGGGGTGGTGGAGGAGGTGGTGGCGGTAGTGGCGGTGGTGGAGCGGGTGGCGGGCGCGGTGGAGCGGTGCAGCGTGGGGGGTTCGGAGGTGGCCAGAGGCAGCCGCAGCAGCGTCCTGGCGAGACTCCCTCGCCCCAGCAGCTTCGTGAGTGGTACTCTCAGCGTGGGGGGTCTGGGGGTGGGGGCATTTGCTCGTACGTCATCTGCACAGGTGATCGCGCTGGCCAGACTTGTGGGAGGTTCCACCCGACACAGCGCTGCTTCTCTCGCCTCGATGACGCCTGGCGCGAGCAGTTCCCTGACGCCTCTGAGCTGCCTCGCTGGGCTGATCTGCTTAGGAAGGGAATTGATATCTTTGCTCTTGATTATGATGCTATCCTTGCTGCCATGTATGCATTGACTATTAGTGCTGAGGGTGACTGCTACCTGAGTGTGCCGCCTGACCCAGGTATTGGTACTGGTATGGCTGCTGCGCTAGGTGCTAGTGCGTCTGCGTCTGCTGGTACTGAGTCTGCTACAGCACACCTTCACCCTGGACTCAGGTGCTTCCCGCTGTTTCTTTCGTGACCGCACAGTCCTTGAGCCACTCGCTCGGCCTGTTGCTGTCTCCCTTGCTGACCCCTCTGGGGGCCCGGTCCTTGCGACCTCCTCCACTGTCCTCCCTTGTCCTGCGGCCCCGTCTGGCACTTTGTCGGGTCTTTACCTCCCCTCGTTCTCTACGAACTTGGTGGCGGGCTCTGCTCTCCAGGACGGGGGTGTTCACCAGTTCACCCCTGCCTATGAGCGAGTGACCCACTGTACGTGTGCTCGGACGGGTCGCCACCTGGCTACCTTCACTCGGCAGCCGGGGTCCGACCTGTACACACTGACCACTGAGCCCCCTCAGGTAGCTGCGTCTGCGTCTGCGTCAGGTCAGCTGTCGGCTCCCTGCTCGTGTCGCTCCCTGTCGCACCAGACCGTCCTCTGGCACCACCGCCTTGGTCACCCCTCCGTGCAGCGCCTTCGTGGCATGCACTCCCGTTACCTTGTCTCTGGTCTTCCCAGAGTTCTCCCTCCCCTCCCACCCTCGCCTGCTCCTCCCTGTCTTCCCTGTGTCGAGGGGCGGCAGCGCGCCACCCCTCACTCCTCCTCGTTCCCTCCCACAGAGGCTCCTTTGCAGACTCTTCACCTGGACGTGTGGGGCCCAGCCCGCGTCCGGGGACAGGGCCACGAGCGGTACTTCCTGCTGGTCGTCGACGACTACTCGCGCTACACCACGGTCTTCCCCTTGCGCACCAAGGGTGAGGTCCCGGATGTTTTGATCCCTTGGATCCGCGCTGCTCGTCTCCAGCTCCGCCAGCGGTTCCAGTCGGACTTTCCCGTCCTGCGTCTGCACTCTGACAGGGGTGGTGAGTTTTCCTCCGCCCTCCTGGCTGCCTACTGTGCGGAGCACGGCATCCGCCAGACTTTCACGCTTCCGGACTCCCCACAGCAGAATGGGGTTGCTGAGCGTCGCATTGGTTTAGTCATGGAGGTCGCTCGTACCTCCATGATCCATGCGGCTGCCCCCCATTTCCTGTGGCCGTTTGCAGTGCGGTACGCTGCGCATCAGCTCAACCTTTGGCCCCGTGTCTCTGCTCCGGAGACCTCGCCCACACTGCGTTGGACGGGGGAGGTTGGCGATGCGTCGGTGTTTCGAGTCTGGGGATGCCGAGCCCTTGTTCGCGATACGTCCGCGGACAAGCTCTCCTCCCGTGCCGTTCCCTGCGTCTTCCTTGGCTTTGTCCCTGACGCGCCTGGCTGGCAGTTTTACCACCCCACCTCGCGCCGTGTCTTTGCCTCTCAGGACGTCACCTTTGACGAGTCGGTACCCTTTTACCGTCTCTTCCCCTACCGCACTGCCCCCCTCCCTCCCCCGCCGCTTTTCCTCGCTCCAGGTCCCCCTCCGGTAGACCCCCTTCCCCCTCAGGGTCCTGCTCCTTCAGGTGTCTCTCAGGTAGACCCTCCTCCCGTCGCTGAGCCTGTCGAGGTCACAGGTGACTCAGGTGCTGCTGCGGGTGGTACTGCTGGGGGTGCTGAGCCTGGGGGTGCTGCCACTGGGGGTGCTGAGCCTGCGGGTGCTGGGCCTGGGGGTGCTGAGCCTGGGGGTGTTGACACTGGGGGTGCTGAGCCTGCGGGTGCGGAGCCTGGGGGTGCTGAGCCTGGGGGTGCTGAGCCTGGGGGTGTGGAGCCTGGGGGTGCTGAGCCTGAGGGTGCTGAGCCTGGGGGTGCTGAGCCTGGGTTTTCTGAGCCTGGGGGTGCTGAGTCTGGAGGTTCTGGCGCTGCTGGTGCTACCACTGGAGCTGGAGGTCCTGGAGCTGCTACGGACACTGGCGCTGCGGGTTCTGAGTCTGCTGTTGCGCGGTCTCCTTGGAGTAGCCGCCTTCGTACGCGTGTGCCTCTTACCTCCCAGCAGCTGCGCGACTGGTACGGTCGCCGTCAGCGTCGCGCTACTGTGGCTCGGGACCCTGCTCCTGGCGGTTCTTCCACTGACGTCACTGGAGCTGCGGGTGGTGCTGGTTTGTTGTCTCCTGAGGGTGCTCACGTCGCTGGTCCCGGAGGTGCTCGTACCGCTGGTACTCGAGCTGCTGGGGCTGGTGGTGTTGTGTTTGAGGGTCCTCCTCCTGGGGACGTTGCGACTGGGGGTGCTGGTTCTGGAGGCGCTGCGACTGGTGGAGACGGTCCTGGAGGAGTTGCTGCTGGGGGTGGTGGAGCTACTGGAGGTGCGGGAGCTGCTGTGGGTGCTGGAGCTGCTGGTGCTGGTGACACTACACAGCCGTGCCTGTTCTTTGCTCCGCCGTCTTCGTCGTCTCTGCCACCTCCTGACTCTGTCCTTCACCAGGTTCTTAGTCTTCCGTCTTCTACCGGTCTTCCCCTCCTGCCTGACTCACCGCTTCCTGCTCCTTCTCCTTACACTGAGCAGTCAGGAGGTCTTACTGAGCGTCGTGAGCCTGCGTCGCGTCCTGTCTCGCCAGTTCGCTCTGGACGCACCGTTCGTCGTGGTCCGCGTTCGCGGTCGCCGTCTGTCCCCCGCACGCGCCTTGTCGTTCGTCGTTCTTCCTCTGTTCCGCAGTCTGTTCCTCTGCCGTCCCCTCCTGAGTCGTCTTTGCCTCACGTTCCGGACCCTGAGTCTGACCGGTTTCGTGCTGAGCACCCTACTGTCACGCGTCTGTTAGCCACTGTTGTCACTGACCCGTCGTTTGAGTCTTCTGCTGCGTCTGCCTTGGTCGCTGAGCTAGTTGACTTTGCTGCTGCCTGTCGTCTAGACTACGCTGCTAGCCTTGTTGCTGAGTCTGAGTCTGTCTGTCCTCCGTCCGTCGGGGGTGAGTGTGCTCTTGACACGGACGTCCTTGAGGACAGGCACGAGGACCTTGAGTGTCTTGCAGCCGCTGCGCCTCATCTCGTGGCCATGCTGCTTGCCCCCGAGGGAGACCCGGATGCTATAGACATCCCTACCCCGCGATCTTACGCTGAGGCGATCGCGGGTCCCTACTCCTCTCAGTGGCAGGCAGCCATGGACGCAGAGATGGCATCCTGGAAGTCCACTGGCACTTACGTCGACGACGTTCCCCCTCCTGGGGCGAACATCGTCAGTGGCATGTGGATTTTCAGGGTGAAGCGGCCGCCGGGTTCTCCGCCTGTCTTCAAGGCTCGTTACGTTGCTCGAGGCTTCAGTCAGCGAGAGGGAGTCGACTTCTTTCAGACCTTCTCCCCCACCCCGAAGATGACCACTCTTCGGGTACTGCTGCACGTTGCCGCTCAGCGTGACTACGAGCTTCACTCTCTTGACTTCAGCACAGCTTTCTTGCAGGGCAGTCTGCACGAGGAGATCTGGCTGCGCCGCCCTCCTGGCTTCACTGGGTCGTTTCCTCCTGGTACCCAGTGGAGCCTCCGCCGGCCGGTCTACGGTCTCCGCCAGGCACCACGTGAGTGGCACGACACACTGAGGACTACACTTACGGCTCTTGGGTTCGCGCCGTCTACTGCTGACCCGTCGCTGTTTCTGCGCACTGACACTTCGCTGCCGCCGTTCTACATCCTCGTGTACGTCGACGACTTGGTCTTTGCCACTGCTGACACTGAGGCTCTCGCCCACGTGAAGTCCGAACTGCAGAAGAGACACACGTGCACAGACCTGGGCGAGCTGCGCAGCTACCTTGGCTTGCAGATCACCCGGGACAGAACACGCCGCACCATCACACTGACTCAGTCACACATGGTGCAGCAGGTCCTTCAGCGCTTCGGCTTCACCTGGTCCTCAGCACAGGCCACTCCTCTGGCCATAGGTCACTCGCTCTCAGCTCTGCCTTCGGATGAGTCCGTAGAGCCGAGTGGTCCTTACCCAGAGCTAGTTGGTTGCCTCATGTACCTGATGACTTGCACTCGTCCTGACCTAGCGTACCCTCTTGGCCTTCTGGCCCGCTACGTGGCTCCTGGTAGGCACCGAAAGGTGCACTGGGATGCTGCGAAGAGGGTATTGCGCTACTTGTGCAGTACATCGGGCATGGGGCTCGTGCTTGGAGGAGGGAGCCCAGTTGTTCTCACTGGACACTCAGACGCTTCTTGGGTTGACGACCAGGCTACTCAGCGGTCGTCACAGGGTTACACCTTCAGTCTTGGCTCTGGCTCAGTTTCTTGGCGTTCTACACGTTCGTCTTCAGTTCTTAGCTCCAGTTGTGAGGCTGAGATCTACGCTACAGCCATGGCTGCTCAGGAGTTACGCTGGCTCACCTACCTGCTGACCGACCTGGGAGAGCGGCCTCGTTCTCCTCCAGTGCTGTACGTTGACAACAAGGCTGCCATTGCCTTGTGTGAGGAGCACAGACTGGAGCACATCGCTCTGCGGTACTTTCTGGCTCGAGAGTTGCAGCAGCGTGGTCAGCTTCGTCTGCGTTACGTGGCCACTCAGGCCAACACTGCTGATATATTCACCAAGGCACTCCCGCCTAGTGATCATCAGCGCTTCTGCACTTTGTTGGGGCTTGTGCCCACTTTTCCTCACTTGCTGTAGACTTTGCGTGTACTGTGATATATATATATATATATATATATATATACCTGCATGCTTGCTAGATATAGATCACTGTGATGCTTGTGTTACATATATGCCTCTGCATGTGAACTGGCCTTGTGGCTCTTTGCTTGTGCTCAGAGTGTGGTGACGTTGTGATCCACCCTGGGCTTGCTTGCCTTTCTTGACTGGTCTTGTGACCCCTTGCTCTCCCCCACTTTGCCTATGGGGGTGTGTCAAACATTATACTTGTGTTGTTGCTGTGTAGGCTACAGTGGGTTAGCCTTTAGGGGGTACACAATTCTAGGGTTTTGTATTTGTACTCCCATCTTCTCATAGTGCACACACTTCTCTCATTCTGACATAAATTGGTCAAGTGGCACAAGTAGAGCGGCATCAAGTTTATCCGGGAGCTTTTTTCATCGAGTAATCAATGAACGATTTTGGGTTCATTTGTAGCAACAAAAAATCAACTATAACCAACAGGACCACTGATCACTCATATTTTACATATACCTTCACAACAAAAAGTTGATAGAGCATTATCCTTGCTACTGTATTTATTTGCCATCCCCATCCTCCATAAAATCACTAATGTTCACAGTATTCCCTCCCCCAAGCAACGCAGACACGTCATGGTGTTGTGCGTTGCCACACTCCAATCCCCCCGATGCTCCCAACGTACCGTATCCAAGCCATCACCTGCCCCCCACCCCATCCCCATCCTCCATAAAATCACTAATGCTCACCGTATTCCCTCCCCCAAGCAACGCAAACACGTCATGGTGCTGTGCGTTGCCACACTCCCCTCCCACTGCTCCCATCATATCTGAATCCATGCGAGATTCCGTAGCAGCAGCAAGGAAAGGAAAGGCAGAAGCACCACCAGCAGCACCAGCACCAACACCGGCACTGGCAGCAGCCGCAGCACCAGCACCAACACCAGCACTGGCAGCAGCCGCAGCACCAGCACCAGCACCAGCACCAGCACCAGCACCAGCACCAGCACCAGCACCACCTGCAGCACCCTCTGTATTCCTCCCAAAGCCCGTGGCAAATGTGTTATACACTCCCTCTGCCTCTCCTTCCTCTCCCCTTCCACCCGCATCTCTACTCGCTCGAGAAGAGGCCACTGCTATTGCCAGAGCCGCAGCCACTGCAATCCGTGAGGAAAGGTCCCTCGGAGGACTGCTGCCCCTGGCATTCCCATGACCATGCACTCCCAGGCCCTGCCCCGATGGGAGACCCACCTGCTGCTCCCTCCCCGATACGTCCGACTCACCTCCTACTCCTCTCCCCATGCCGTTTCCTGAGCCGCCTTGCCCAGGATTCCCCCTTCCTCCTCCTGCTGCTCCTGCTCCTCCTCCTCCTCCTCTTCCTCCTCCTCTTCCTCCTCCTGTGCTTCTCTGATGCTGCTCTATCTGCCTTAGAATCACACGGGCCAGATCTACAACCTCGGGGTCCTCTGCTGCAGATCCCACATCCGGAAGCAAGCTTGCGAAACCACCTGGGACAGCTGGTAACATGGGTAACATGGTAACCAGGTCTTCCATGGACTGCCCAGAAGCCAGCCGCCTGCTTTCTGCTTCCTCCGCGCCGCCTCCAGCAGCAAACTCCTCAAGTTCACGCTCGTTATAAGCACGTGCCCTAGAGAAACCAACAGAGGGGGTTCCTGCAGCCACAGCTCCCACTCCTGCTGCTGAAGAGGCGGGGAGGGCCCTTGGAGCGTGGAAGGGAGTGCTGGGTGTGGCTGCCGAGGCAGCAGATGAGAACGCAGTCGATAAGGCCGCAGAATGGGCGCGAGCGAGGGAGAGTAATCCACTCGCGTTTAGAGGGTATTTGGGGGGGGATCCCTCCGTTCCATGGGGTAGAGTTGCAATTCCACCAGCAGCACCACCACCAGCAGCGGAGAGGGCAGCAGAATGGACACGAGCAAGAAAAAGAGCTCCTAGCCCGTCTGTAGGGTACCCGTGGGAAGAACCCTCCATTGCATGGTCTACACTTGCAATTCCCCCAGCTGCAGTACCACCCGCAGCACCAGCTGCTGCAGCAGCAGCAGCCTCAGCAGCAGCTGCCTCAGCAGCAGCAGCAGCAGCAGCACAAAGGTGAGAAAGGGCCTGGGATTGTTGGGTTCATGGGCGAAGCGCCGGGAATAGGAATATCAAGCCAGTGGGAAGGCTGGAAGGCAGAAGCAGCAAGCGAGGGGGGCGGGAGTGAGTAGGTAGGGGCAGAGAGAGCGTAAGGGGCGTCTGGGAGGGGCAGAGGAATGAAGTCACTGAGAAGGGTGCCTAGCTGTGTGGAGATCGGGTCTGCTGCTTGAGGGATATGCACACTCGGAAAGCTCGCTCCATCCTGCATTCCATGACCCCCCTGCTCCTCCTGCTCCTCCTGCTCCTCCTGCTTCACCTGCTTCACCTGCCCCTGCTGCTTCTCCTGATCCTCCCATCCTTCTAGCTCCTCCATTTCTCTCTCCTCCCGCTCCTCCCTCTCTCTTTGCTCTTGCTGGGCTGTCTGGGGTTCCCGGAATTCCTGGGAGTTTAAGGCTTCTTGCATGTGTGAGTTGAAGGCTTCTTGCATGTGTGAATCACTTAGCACTTGCACCACCTCTCCCATTACCTCTCCCTCTCTCTCTCCCCTCCTCTCTCCCTCGCTCTCTCGCTCCCTCTCTCCCTCCGACTCTCCCTCCCTCACCTCCTCTCTCACTCCCTGTAGCGCCCATCCCTCCTGCTGCTGCTGCTGCTGCTGCTGTTGCTGCTGCTGCTGTTCCCAAGATGCCCATACCTCCTCCAGATGAATCCTGGCCTCTGTTGGGACACGTGGCGGCTCCTCATTGGTCAGCCATGCACTGTTGGCGTCAATGCCCACGCTAGGAAGAATCGCACTACTCCACCTCTCCAGATTCATTCCCTGCCTGCTGCTGCTGCTGCTGCTGCTGCTGCTGCTGCTGCTGCTGCTGCTGCTGCTGCTGCTGCTGCTGCTGCTGCTGCTGCTGCTGCTGCTGCTGCTGCTGCTGCTGCTGCTCCTGCTGCTGCTGCTGCTGCTGCTGCTGCTGCTGCTGCTGCTGCTGCTGCTGCTGCTGCTGCTGCTGCTGCTGCTGCTGCAGCCGCTGCCGCTGATCCGACTGTAACAGCTGCATATGCTGCTGTCCCTCCTCCTGCTGCCCCTGCTGCTGCTTCCCCTCCTGCTGCAGGTTCAGATTGTGCATAAAAGCAGCAGAAAGATTAATATCCTCATTCACATTCTTCATTCCACCGTCCGCCCCACTACCATCCTCCGGTCCAGAATCATCCTTCCCCTTTCCTGCCTCGTGCGAATACCGCCTTTCAGAGGTTCCAAAACTCCCCTCACCCGCCCCCAGAGGCTCAGGGGTGTGCATACGGCTCCTCTTCCCCCGCCGCTGCTCATCTGAATCAGCCATCCCGTACCCAGCACCCCAGAACTCCGCGTTAGGATTACTCAACTCCATCGCGTGTGCCCCCCCTTCTCCTGCTGTTCCTCCTGCTGTTCCTCCTGCTGCTCCGGCTTCTAAGCCTGCGATCACTGCCGCATCGGCCACAATACCTGCTGCAGCCACACCAATAACCTCCTCTTCCACCAGCAACCCAGCCACACTCCTCTGAAACCTCTCCAACGCCTCTCCACTCCGCACCCTCCCCCTCCACCCTCCAGGAGTCACCCTCCTCCTCGCACTCCTCCTCCCACTCTCGCTCCCACTCTTCCCTTCCTCCCGCAGGCTCGCCTTTCCAAACCCTGCCATCTGCCCTTCCTCATTGGTCGTCTCACCTGCTGCCTGCGCCTGCACCCTCTGCTGCAGTACCTGCCAGGAGCCATCATCAGATGCTGCCCGCCTCAGTCCCGACCTTCCCCAGGCGTCACCCTGCCAAGCCAAGCCCTTCTGCTGTTCCTCCTCCTGCTGCTGCGGCTGCTGCTGCTGCGGCTGCTGCTGCCGAGCCTGCCTGGGCAGGTTCGGCGCAGCCATGGCGTCTTCCGAGCCTGCGCTCGTGGGTGTGGGAGAGGCGGAGGAGAACGAGGCGGAGCTGCTGCTGTTGTTACTGCCAGCCGTCGTTGGTGTTACCTGGTTACCAGACGGAGCGAATCCAGGGAAACCAACCATGTCACCCAGACTAGCAGATTTGCTCGCCAGGAAAGAAGCGCGGCGGTTACCACCATCACGGTGGCCACCAGCACGGTTACCACCAGCACGGTTACCACCAGCAGTGGCAAGGAAATCGCCAGGACTAGCAAGGGTAGAGGCTCTCCAAGCGGTGACACCGGGAGAGGCCGTAGCAGGGGATGTGCCAGGGGTTGTAGCAGCAGCAGTTGCAAAGGATGTAGCAGCAGCTGTAGCGAAGGATGTAGCAGCTGCTGTAGCAAAGGATGTAGCAGGGGCTGTAGCGAAGGATGTAGCAGGGGTTGTAGCAACGCCTGAAGTAGGGGCTGTAGCAGGTGCTACAGCAGGTGCGGATGTAGCAGGGATTTGAAAAGCACCAGAGAAACTCTTACTACTCGGGACGGCAGGAAAACCCTCCTGCCTTAAACCCTCCCTACTGCCCCTCCCCCTGCTGCTGCTGCTGCTAGAATCGCTACCCTGGCGTTGCCCTGCTGCCGCCGCGAGGGAAGGAGAGAGGGACCCGTATACAGGAAAGGAAAAGGATGGGGCAACAACTTGGGCTGAGTTAGGGTTTCTGATAGGCGTTGATGAGTGTGTGTTGGCAGCCACAGCAGCAACGGCAGCGGCAGCAGCGTTGGCAGCAGCAGAAGAAATCAAATTACCACCGTAGCCAATGCCGCCACCAGGAGCAGCAGCAGCAGCAGCAGCAGCAGCACCAAATTGTGAGCTTTCAAAAGGCCGCTTGCGCACGTTGCTAGGTCTGGGAACAACCACGTGCGATCCATAAGGGTTGGTCCGGCTTTTCGAGTGATCCCCCAAATATGCTGCGAAAGCATCGGCAGGCAGGGATGATGCAGGTGCAGAGGTGGCAGAGGATGGGGAGAGGGGGGCAGAGGCAAGGAGGCGGCTTGACAAGGCGGCTCGGGGAGGAATGGAAGGGAGAGAGGGTGGAGACGTGGGTATGCTAAAGGAGGGATTTGTTAGCTGTTGAGTGAGCTGAAGTGCTTGTTGCTGTAAACGCTGCTGCTGCTCTAACTGGTTCTGTAGCTGGGACTGAAACTGCTGCTGCTGTTGCTGCTGCTGCTGCTGCTGCTGCTGCTGCTGTTGCCGCTGCTGTTGTTGCTTCTCCTGCTGCTGCTGCTGCTGCTGCTGCTGCTGCTGCTGCTGCTGCTGCTGCTGCTGCTGCTGCTGCTGCTGCTGCTGCTGCTGCTGCTGCTGCTGCTGTTGCTGATGGTAATGCTGCAGCAGCACAGCAAGCTGCAAGTGCTGAAGCTGCACATTGCCTGATAAGCCCTGCCTCTCACTCACCGGTTGATCGCTCACTGCCCGCGCTCGCAACTGCTGCTGCTGCGGCTCCACAAACATTCCCTCTCTTTCAACGACACTCGCTGGGTTCCCCTGCATCGGCATCCTCGTTACAAACTGCTGCGCCTGCGGGTTATTCGACAAAAAAGCGCCCACACGGCTGGGAGAAACTGCTGGTGGCTGGCGCGTTGCGACAGTAACTGCATCGGCAGCAGGTTCGGCTCTTGAAATAAGAGGCTCGAAAATCCCACCTTTGTGAACCCTCCCCGCGTGACCACTACCGCTACCTTCACGCGCAGAGATCCTTTGATCCAGATCTGGCATTTCATGGAAGGCTGCTGACGTGGAGGCTCCAGGTTGGGCAGCAGCGGTGTTACCAGCACCAGCTGCAGTGCCAGTGGCAGCGGCAGAAACAGCGACACGAGCGGAAGCAGGTGAAGCAGGAACGTCAACAGCTGCTGCTGTTGCTGCTGCTACTACTCCTGCTGTTGCTGCTACTGCTGCTCCTGCTGCTACTGCTGCAGTATCCACCTCCCTACTAGTACTACTAGCAGCTGCTTTCCTCTGCTGCCCTGCCTCCTGTCCAGCCGTCTGAGTCGATCCGCCTAGAATCACCTGCTGGCCGCCTTGGTGGTTATGTTTGTTGGTGTAAGAGACCTGCACGTTCTCGTCTGTTACCACTGCCTCTGGGTTGCGGTCTATTGTCTTTTTGGCCGGGCAGCCCGCTCCCTTACTAGTGTATCCACAGCGATAGTATGCCCTGTGAAGAAAAAAAAAAGCGATAAAAAGACGGAAATAAAATATTCAACAAAAACATTACTGGATTAATCAGAGTCACTTGGCTTTGTCCGAGGCAAAATGTAAAGAAAGGAAAGAAAAGGAAGAAAACAATAATACAAGCAAGCAAAAACAAGAGCCAAGTTTCCGGCTCGATTTCCGCAAACGCTGTTTCAAGCTAAAGAAACCGAAATATGCCTAACACAGACTGGAAAAGAAGAAGGTACTCACATTTTTCAATAAATCTCCGACACTTTCTTGTTAACTCGCTTACCTGATGATTCCAGTTCTCATGAGAGGCTTTTCGCCGTACTTGAGCCAGTGATGGCCGTCCTTCGCAACGATTTCCACCAATTTCTGCCGATCGCGCCATTCCCTGATCGCCATCGAGTCCGCCATTCCATCTGCCGCCGGCGGCGGGTCATCGTGATTATCGCTGGAGTTCGGATTCATTTTGTAGGACTCGTTTCCTAGCAGCGAAGCTATCGGTGTCAGGCTGAGATTTTGTGCTGTCACATTACTGTGTGCCGTCTGCTATTCTTTGCTCTTACTCCGAGAAACAAACGCTTCAGTGCTAGTAGCGGTGAATGTTGGCTCCAGCCGAAGAAAATGGATGAAAGGTTGTGAGTGAAGCAAGAAAGCCAACCGATGCACTATTTGAGCACGAATCACTGAGGGCGAAGGCGGTCCACTTCATGTAAATTTTGTTTTGGCTGTAACGTGTGATCGAACCTGTCTGTATGTGGGCGACGATATTGTGATTCCGCCACTGTCGCCACTGGCAGTGATCCACGTCCAGGAACATTCACGGGCAGTGCACAGTAAGTTAACGGCTGTCACGATTTTTTCGGGCAGGTCACCCGGCAACTCTGGCGATCTCGTCCGTCATCTCTGGCTAATCCCGACGATTTCCTTCCCGCCTCGGTCGCAACGCAAGGCTCACGGCTGGACACCTGTGGTTGGAGTTGTGGCCAATAGGAGCACGTACAGCAAGCGACCACGTCAGGTTCAGCGAAAGCCGACAAACTAATGAACGACTAGACGGGATAATAATCATTATAGCCGGCGTTATTGCCGACGTATAAACGGCCAAAAGACGGACTGATTCAACTTGCCGGCTATTTCGCCAGTACAGTAATCAGAAATAAGCGTAATGTATTTCGAGAGACCGTCAGAAATCAGCGTTGCTTTGGGGGATCCGCCCAACTGCTGCCAGGAATAAAATTTGTTGGATCCAAAAGCTGTCACCGCAAAAAGAATAATTCTATTCGCTAGGACGGCATTTTTGCCGGTTAACCGTCTGTTTTCCATTCCTCGCTAACAGCCGACAAGACACCTTGTAATGTGTATGGGTGCAACTGTTGCACATCTCTGTTGACCTGGGTGTATTGGCACCATTCGAAAACGACAGGCGGAAAAATTGCGCGACACGCCAGCGCTCGAACTTTTCTTAATCTCATCGACCAGTCTCGCACGTCGGGTAGGGCGACCGAACCTCGTCCAAATGGATCGACTTACATGCGCTTCCATGTTATTTTTACTGTATCGACTTGCTACTTTTCGTTACAGGTGCAATAACACTTGAAATCCCATAACCAATCATGAGGACCTATCATCTGTCAATGGACACGTCATAATTCTAGGCACGCAAACCTGGAAATGTCGTGTGCGTGCATGACGGGATGCTGTCAAATCCACCTGACATCTGTGAATGCCCATGAACGTTCGTGAACTTGGGCACTACATGCTAGAAACCACAACGCGTCATCATTCACGTTGGGCCAGAATCTTACGACGTGTTGCGACCCACACGGGTCGGGTCGACCAACCCCCGATCAATTTCTAAGAAGGCTGCATCGCGGGTCTACCTGACCAGGTCGACCCAACCCAACCCGGTTGGGTTGTGTCGATCCGGGTCGACCAAGTCGGGTCAACTAGGCCGACCTGACCCAACCCAAACGACCTAGAGCAAGTTACCTGAGCCTGCGAACTCTGTGGTTCTTGCGCGCATATCGCCTGTATCTCGCCTAAGAAGAAGATACCCGGTAATATCACCCAGCCCACCTTCCACCCGTGCAGTAATTGTTTTCTCTTTACGTCAAATTTGCAGAGAAAACAACGGGAAATTCTTCGGTTTCTCGAGTCACCTTTGTGTTGGGTTGGGTCTGGTCGGGTCTACCCGACCTGGTCGACCCGACCCAACCCAACCCTGTTGGGTCGCAACACGTCGTTACAAGCATGCCACAAAAAATATCTTCCATGCATACCGGACA